GAAAGAACCAAAGAAGCAAACGGTTGATTAGTTTACAGATTATCAGGAATACTTAAAATGCTAAAAATATTCTTTTACTTGCTGTTTTTTTCTTTTGTCAGCATGGCATTATTTATTGTATTTTTATCTAACAACAAAAAAAATAAGAATTTTTTTCCTATCAATGTGTTTAACACAGAAAATAACTCTTTCTCAAAAGTAGGGAACATAAATGCAGTTCCCTTTAAAACCACAGCGATGCCAACTACTTCAGGGACTTTAACTCCATGCCCTGACTTCCCACCTTACCTCCAGGGGGTTCTACAAGTGCAGTTCAACACTAAGCGGACTCTGGAGGACGTCCAGCATCACGTTGGTTCGTTCCTTAAGCAGGGAGGACGGTACAAACCATCCAACTGTACTGCTCAACAAAAGGTAGGTGGAAGCTTTGAAAAAGAAAAAGGAGCATAAATTAAGTTTGAAATTCTTATATATATTATTGGTGCCAAAATGTTAAATTCAACAAATTGCTATATATTTCTCAAATTCCAAATAGTCATTAAAGTATCTGTAGACTTATCAACACTCCACGTGGCGTTCACAGTGCTTAGGGTGATGGTAGTATTATAACCAAACAGAATAAACGACAAATTAGATAATAAACTGTGCAATACAATTTATGATTATACATATATGTATATATTTAGATATTTAAAAAAAATGCAGTTGGGTATTTTACTTGTGGTATTTGTTTAGGTGTGGCTAACACACACCTTCTCATTTTCATATATGTAATGAGGACCATTTGTTGACTCCCACTGACTCTTTCACACACCTGTCAAACCACTTATTATCTTTTTCCAAAATGTGAACCTTCTAGTCCTCAAAAGAATGTCCTTTGTCCATGAGGTGTAGGTGGTTGCATTTCTTTCTGTGTTGGGCCGTGCGTCTGTGGAGAGGTTGTTTGGTTTCTCCAATATAAAGATCAGAGCATTCCTCACTGCATTGAACTGCACACACCACTCAGCTCGTATTTGGTCTGGGTTTGTCGTTAGAATGCACTAGTCCCTGTCTAAGCATCTTGTTTGGTTTGAAATGTTCAGGGATTTTGTGTTTGGAGAAAATGCTCTTGAGTTTTTTCAGAGACTCCAGCAACATATAGGATGACAATGTTTTTGCATTTAATCTTCTGACCGTTATGTTCTGCTGCTTGTCTTTTGGATTTCCTTGCTGATGTGAAAAACGCCCAGTTTGAAGAACATCTTTGATGGGTTTCTGTTCTTTGTGCTTCCCTTCTGCTTTAGTGGGGACATGCTCAGTCCGATATTGTAAGGTTCTGATGACTGAAAGTTTGTTGATAAAATTTTACCAGTAGCCCAGAGATGCATTAGCCTGGAATACAGAAATGTTTTATACAAATAAAATGCAAGGATGTTTATGAAGTCAACCAGAAGTGTCTGGCTTAGAAGATATAAAGTTTACTGCAGAGCATTTAGCTGAATACCCTATATTCCTTTTTTAAAAACAAGCAAAACGACATGATTTGTGCCTTTGTGGACAGGAAAGATGTTTATGCATTCCTCCTGAGCGAATTTGGTAAGAGTTTGATTTATCAATTAACTCCACTACTTGTGCAACAAATTAAGAATGTTATATGTCACAGCTGCTACTCCTGCTGTGATTGGCTAAAGGCTTGACATGGGCAGTAGGTGCCACTTAGTGATTAATGCAAACGGCTTGAA